CAGTATTTTAACAAAACCCCCCCCCCCACACCCAGAGGACTCTCAAGCACATTGCGATTTGAGAAGCACTGTTAGAGCACTTGCCGTCACTCTCATGGTATTTTCAAACATCTGTGAACTTTACAAATAACCAGTGCGCAGACTCCTGAGAGTCTGATTACTATTAGGCTGGAGTGAGGACCTAGGCAATGGTGCTTTGACTAAGCTGCTCAGGTAATTCTAGTGCGCATCCCGGGATGAGACCACAGATTCAAAGGAGGGTTCCCAAGTTTGACCACAATAATTACATTCATGCAAGATGGGGAGAACATACTAGCCCCGGTTACAGACCACATGAGAAACCCTGACTAATCAAGTTAAGTTGGTCAAAAGGAGAAGGAGCTGGAGAGTATGGTGACTCCCAGCAAATTCATCTCATCTTCCGGAAAATTAATTCAAAACATATGTCCTGTCTTCAATGAATCGGTAGCACAATCCTAACATTAAATAATAGAAAGGGAAGTTTGTTTAATTTTTCATTCCTAAGTGCTGAGTTCAGTTTATACAAACTGAGGAATTAAATGAGATTATGTATATTTGTAATAGACCACTGTGTGGCATACATTAAGATCCAAATAAATGCCCCTTTTCTCTGGAAAAAAAAATAATAAGGTACAGTAAGAGTTGAGGCAAAAAATTCTAGTGGTGTGCAAAAACAATACCGAGATTTCAGAAGTTTTAAGACTCTAATCTCTTACATACCAAGCTAGCCAGCACAGCTTCCCTCAATTCCCGGACGATGGCAAAGAAGATTAATAAATCGTCGTGACCAGCTGTAGAGTTGACGTTCTGTCAACATGCTGGGTAAGGTGAAAAATGGATCCATCCATTCAATAACTTGGAAATCATGTGTGCACTTTCACCAAAGCAAAGAAAGCCCTCCTGTTTCCATTTCCACTTACAGTCCTTATCAAAATGATAAAATGACATGCCAAATGAACGTTGGCATGTTTGCAGGCAGTTACATTTTTTTTAACGAATTAACAAACCTTTCCAAACTATCAAAAGAGATGATTTCAATCGATTGCTAATATATACAACCTTAATTGAGTGCATGTGGGATTGATTTGTGCGGTGTTTGATCCTTACTGTGGTTAAAATGACGAACAGGTTATATTTAAGTCTTGTCCTTTACAGAATACAGCACATTTGCTCTTTTTGAATTCACAAAACTGAAAAACGAATAGATCCAGGTAATTTTTTAAACCTAGGGCAAAATATACTGTTCAATGGTATGACAGAATTTATAAATACGGTACATAGGCTTATTTTGTACAATTCATAGCATTTGATAGCCACAAGCCTGCACTTCTTTAAAATGTCTCTAGGTAAATATATTGTTTAAATTATTGTAATCTGTATACCTTCGTTTAGATTTATTTCTTTATTTTTGAGACAGGCTCTTGCTGTGTCACAGTCCTCTAGCCTCAACCTCTCAGCTTGGACTGTAGACTCATGCCATTGCACCCAGGTTTAGGATTAGATTAAGAATCGAACCCAGGCTTCCCACGTAGCCCTAGCTCATGGAGCATAGCATCTTAGCAGCTTGCCACCGCAGCAGATCTCTTTGTTCAGATTTTAAGTGCCCGAAGTATATGAGGAAAAGAAAGCTCATTCAGTGCTAGGAAATGACAAAACAAATTGTCCAAAGAAAACCAAAAACTTAGGAATGCGTGTTTATGGGCTTGAACCTGATCAACGTTCTTCACAATCATCATCTAGTGATTGAAGCTTCTCGTACGCTGGATCACGACAGGGAGCTTTTTCTCTTATTCACCACTTCAGACATCAGGGAAGGTGATGCCAATATGTGAAGCACGGAAGGTACAATAGATGCTCACCACATACTTATTGAATAATCAGTCCAGATACTCGAACACTTTTAAGTCATCCTCTATCGGTAACCGGAATTGGAAGAAGTAACAAAAATCACCTTCTTAAACAAAAGAGTCACTGCCGAGAACATGGTGGCATCTGGAGACCTTGATCCAGCGAGTTCTCTCCACTAACTCCTCAGTCTTAGCTCCATCCGCAACAGTGTTAGTCCACAAAAATGACACACCGTTTCACGGGGTTGAGGAATAAAAAGAGAAACTGATGTTCAGCTTTGTTTATATCACCCACAGAGTTCATATTGGAAATTTGGGGGAATTTTCTTGCTCTAGAAAACCAGCCCTTTTAAAGAACTGTGGAGTTCATAATTTTCAGTGATGATGTTTTAAAAGTTTTATTCTATTACTTGTGAATTACGCATGTGTCCTTAGCAATACATATAAGAAAAGAAATATTACTTTTTGTCATTTATCTGATATATATTATTTTCTTCTCTTACAACACACACACACACTATATATATATATATGTAGAGTCTTCAAAACGTGGAAAACATGTATTATCAAAAAATTATACATGAAAGCTTTGCACAAAAACAAATGTATATTTTAATTCCATTTTCATAGCCTTTTAAAAAATTTCCCACAAGCTTTTTAAAACACCTGTGTGTGTGTGTGTGTGTGTGTGTGTTTGTGTGTAGCTATTATGTAGTTATTTTGTGTAACTATCTGTATAGCTATTTGGTACCAGCAATCTGTATTCTAGGATTCAAGAAAAAAAAAAAGTGAACTTTGAGAGGAATCCCAATAACTTGACGTGTAATTTGAAAGATTATATCCCCGTAATACTCCACAGAAAGAACTTGGACCGATAGGAGTGAAAATAAAGCAAAGTAATCTTTCAGAGAATTCGATGAAATACAAAGTTCCAGGACAGAAGTACAAGTTTAACTCTGCAGCACAGTCCTTCTCAGAGCATGTTTTCATAAATCATTTTACTCGACTTAGTTTTGTAAGAAGAAAGGCCTTTCACATAGTAGGCAGTTAGTGAACAGGTACTTAGGATTCCAATTTTACAGAAATGAAATACAGAGTCCCAGGACAGACACGTGTACAAGTTTAACTCTGCAGCACAGTCCTTCTCAGAGCATGTTTTCATAAATCATTTTACTCGACTTAGTTTTGTAAGAAGAAAGGCCTTTCACATAGTAGGCAGTTAGTGAACAGGTACTTAGGATTCCAATTTTACAGAAAAATAGTGTGGTTAAGACATTCATCTTACATAAGGAAAGCTAGTGATAAACGATACAGGGTTTTTGGTATGCAGCAGGATCATATTAGTAGAACAGAGAAAAATGAAAGTGGAAAATACAAGTACATTGGAACTCATAGCACGAACAATCCAAAAAATTACATTTAAGGGCGCTTTCTCTAGGATTCTTAATTAATGTTAAATAGCCATTCTGAGTTGCACCATTATTTTCTAGTAAAATGAAAGTCAGAGAATAACAAGCGAATGGGTCGTGTGTGGTTATGAGAAAATTCCTTTCTCTACTCTAGTTGAGTTGTTAAGGTTTATAACGATATTAACAGAGGAATGTTTTGTTAACTATTGCAAACAGATGTGCACATTTTGGTTGAATATTTTTGAACTATGGAAGAGCAATTAGGAGAGTAGCATTTAATCTACTGGGCTCCTTGCGAAAATTCTAGTTTGATAAATGTCTAATGAAGTGAAATAAGAAAGATTGTATCATTAAGACCCAACATGAAAAAGAAACTCCTTAAGAAGTGGTTTTAAGGACTGATTGGTCTGACAATTTTGACTCAGATGTAATGCAGCAGGCGGGGATTGTTTCCCAGTATCTTACTTTATCCAAACTTAACTGAAATAACCAAAGAATTGTTGTGGAACATTTTGTGACTAACAGTTCATTTGGTCAACTAGGAGATGATCTGGTTAAGCTCTTATGAAAACTGCGACATAAGGTTGGATGGAAGATGTCGGATTTCTAGTCCTCTGATCCATTTTGTTCCTGTCTGTCCAAAAATATATTTGAACCTGCTGAAAAGCAAAACACGTATGTGTTGTTCAACTACTTATAAATATTCTTGAAACAGGTCAATGAAAATTTGGGGTTGGGCCCTTCCAACTTTTGTTGAGTTACTCATCATAAAACAAATTATGGGGTAGAGAAACTTAAAAGTTTATGAGGTGGACATGGGAAGAATGGAAATATTTTAAGCACACCAAAAGAAATACCCATAAATATTCCAAGTCACATTATTCCCAGAAGTTCTGCCCCTGGAAGACATCACATCATTCAGTTAGCCAATCACTGTTCGGCAACATTATTCTTGGAGTCATAACTTTAGGAATGGTGTCGGAAACCAAGTGGGAATGAGAGTATTTAAGGTCAGCGGTTAGAAAACCATCTATCCTGCTCCTAGCACTACTGAGCGCCAGTACCCACATTTCTCTGAATGCGTTCCTACATTTTGAGTTTGGGATTTTGAGACTAGGAAAATCAACTCAATTGAATACAGACCTTGAACTTTACTCAGAAGAATATGCCTATTAAATTAAAATCCTAATTGCCAATATTGAAAGTTGAGCTGAGCTGATTGCCCTTCCATGTTAGATAATAAACTAGAAATCTGTCTCTCTCTTTTTTTTTTTTTTGGCTTTTTTTTTTTGTGCCACTAATGGAAAGAAAAATACAAAAATGTTTTGAATTATAATACCTCATGAGAAAAGACCAACAAAAATATGAGGGAAGTAACCTTAAAATAACTAGGTAAATATTTTGTAATATTTTAAGATTCTGTCTAGAAGAATGTGGAAAAAATAAAAATCCAGTGGAGAAAACTCTAACATTTATGCAAAATGTAATATGTATGCATAGGCCAAATTATTTTCTAGTTGGAATAATAGCAAAAATCTAAGTAATTTGGGAAAATAATTTCGCCAACAAAAGGTGGATTAAAATTAACTCTGGATATTTGTGTTCTTAATAAAATTAAAACAAAAACAATATTTAAAATCAATGTTAACAGTTATAGAACCAAAAACTGCTACTTAATTTGAGAAATACAGAAGATAAAATTAAATGAAATAGTTGCCTACTATTATTAATAAAAATAATTTTAGAATGCTTTCAAGCTTTTCAAAATTTCAGAGATGAATTTATTAAAAGAGAATTAATCATAACATGAGTTTCTGAGTTTTAGTTTTCTGGTTAAAAATGTTTAAATCACTACCAAATTATTTAAAGACCAGTACAGGCAATTTAAGGTCTAGTTGATAATAAACATCCACTTACTTGTTTTCTCATTTTAAAAATACAGCAATTTGCTATATCTTGACATTTTTCTGTAGTTTAACTCTGGAGTTTTAAAGAACATGTTAATTACATTTTACTTCTTTTATATTTACACTAGAAATAATAAAAATTCCTTTTTTGGATAAAATTTAAATCAAAGCAACATTTCATTCATTTTTTCTTAAATGTCAAAAATTGAAAGAAAAAGATCATGTTCATAAGTTTATAACTATGGTGTTAGGTAGGAATTATTTTAATAAGAAAATAACTTTTGAATTTTCTAAAAAAATATGAAACGCATACATTGCTATTTACTGACTTTCCTATGTTCTGTTTTGCTATTTTGAATTGATTATTCAAAGCAAATTGGAAGTTCATATTTGAATTTGAAGTGTTATGGCGATATATTTACTGAGTTTTTTGTTTTTGTATTTTAAAACAGGGCAGTGAAAAGAAGAAAATTGGTTGAAACAGTCACTCTGAATGAATTTCATGTATTCGCTTTCCCAAAATGTAAAACAAATGCAACATATACTTTAAATATTCCTAAGAGATATAGCAACTTGTTTTAATTTATTTCAAGGGAATGTGGTGGATTGCAATGACCGCTTTGGGACCTATATAGGTTACTAGGTATTTATAATAATATATGATGTGTGCTGATACTCTTTTCCTGAAGAGTTTAATACCACATATTAAATATATTCTTATTAAGAAGGTTTCTTTTTAAGAAAGTTACTATGAATTGCCCACTAATTCCACTATGTTGTAGAACTCTATTTTTATTATGCCAATGCTCATTCATTTAAATACTTAAAAGTTAAATTAAGCTAAGTATATTCCATTTTTAAAAAGCTTAAGGTAAGACAATCAGAATTCATTAAGAAGTACATTAATTAGCTGGCAATTCTTCCAATTTTCCCCTCCTCAATCTGTAATAGGTCTCTATTAAAAAATACATATAAAATATTATATCTATAGCTTCGTGAAACTTATCTGTATATCATGAATTTAAAAACGAACCTGCACTGCTTTATAATAAAATGACTTATTTCCCTTCAAATCTTTGCTTTACCCAAAGATTAGTTATGGGTTGTGTGTTCCCTGAGAATGTATTCTGGAGGAAGTGAGGTCGAGAGTGACGACAAGTATAGGAGCTCCTGGCCATTATAAAGTTGATTTTAAAATACATCACCAAAATTCAAACTTGGGGAAAAGAAATTTGATTCAGTCCCATTAGAAAGGCAGATACTATAGGCTATGCCACTAACTAGCTATGGTGGTGGTGGTGAGGAGGGCATGACCGAATAACCCAAAAGGCACTTGTAATCTATTATTTCATAATTCGTGTTTTAGATCTACAAGGTATACAACCACAAACACATACTGTAACAAGATTCAACTCACGGATGAAGATACTAAACTAAACCAATGTGGTGAGTACACACTCAGGAAAGAGCAAACTATATATATATATTCTTAGGCTCCCACTGTTTGATTTGTAATCTATTTGGATTCATTCATTGAGAAGTGTAATCCTAGTGTTATTTACCTAGAGGCATTCCGTTTTAATTCCACTTTCTCATACATACCTGTCTTCCGGCTTCATTGTTATGTAGCTTCATTGCTAACAATATTTTGCTTTCTTTTCCCGTGGAATTTCTAATGGGGAAATCTAGGAATTTCCTGCTGCATGCCATACTGGACATCATCGGAGCAGCCCCCCCAGTGCCAGCCTTCACTTGCTGAGCCGCCATTCTGCAAAGAGGTGTCACAGGAACACTCTGTCATGTTGCCTGCGCTGCATGACCTGGTCACAGAATGCACCAGGCCTGCCGCCATCACAGCATAAATAAATGCTGTCTCCTTGGTGCCTAGGACAGAACAGAAAGTCTCAATTAGAGAGGCACACCCCTCTCTGCTGTTCTGAACAAAACTTCCTGCCCATCCTTTTGCCGGGTGCAACAGTTCAGTTGGTTACAAAGGATGCTTTAGTAAGTACATAGGACAGAAATGTCCTATTCTGTTCTTGCAAAACACAACACTAATATTCAGCATCCAACCTGATGGGGTCGTCATATTTTAAAATCATGTTTATTTTTAAAACTCAAAATATATGCCAGCACCTAGCTCGGTGCTTAATAAACAGGAATAGCTCAGAAATGCATGTTGAATGTACAGTTCTTCCCATGGATATTATAAACAGTACAGACACCAAAAGGATACCAGATTACTTTTTTTTCCCCTCGAGTTGAAGTGTGTTTTCACAAAACACAAGTTGAAAAAAATCTGCTGTGATTTTTGTTTGCATACACAACACACCCAAGAATGAAAATGAAAATTAAGCAAAGACCGAAGCAATCAGTAGATAAATGGCACAGTTCACTTTCCCATTAAATACTAAGTCTTAATAGGAAACAAACATGTTTTATCGTACTAACTAATCTCCTTGTAGTCTTAAGGGCAATGAAAGATGTTGAAACGTCACTAGCAAAAAAAAAAAAATTGTTATGGAAGAGTATTGACTGTTGAACAAGGTATGTGTAGTGCACCCAGAGTAGACTTTGACCTAAAATCTTTGAAAATTAAAGTTCCACTAAAACATCAATAAAATAGAAGGGACTCCGCGAGAGCTTTTTTTTTTTTTTTCCCAGATGTTTACGTTGCGGTCGAAACAGTTTCACACGCCGGTTGTCCAAAAAAACCTTTTCAACAGCTGATGTTTTTGCATTTCGGCAACTGTGAAGAATACATCTCTTTTCCTTTACTTTCTCTCCCTCCCCCCACTTCTCTACAGGGGTTCGGGGTCCCTGGGAAGGGTGCACCCGCCAAAACGTAATGGGGGGGAAACGCGACGCCTGGGCGGTGGTGTGTGGGGGGATCGCATGGGGAAAATTCAAAGGTGGAGAGAGAACGGAAAGGAGCGCGGAAAACGACAGCGCATCTTACAGCGCCCAGCCCTACATTTCTCGGAACCTGCCGATGTCCCGGGGACAATCCTGACTCCCTGCACCCTCATCCTCACCCAGTCACCACGCACGTGGACGGGAAATCGGTTTGACTGGCGCTTCCCGCGCCGCGGGTGTGCGCTAGGGAAGAGACGGAAGGAAAAGAACGGGGAAGGGAGCCAGAGCAGTGCCGCTCGGGGTAGCCACAAGGCGGAAGGCCGGGGACAGTCCCTTTAAAGTCACTACGATTCCTTCCGCCCCTGGCCACAGGAGCCAGCAAACGTAGGGTTTCCCTGCAATTAGACTCTTGTCCAGGGCTCGGTGCGCAGCCGAGCGGGTTAAATCAAAGCAGATGCGGCCGCCGCATTCCCCGCGGCCGACCTCATGTTTCTCCAGCTGGTCACTCACGTAGGGGGGCGCTACGGGGATCGAGGGGGTCGACCCGGGAGGAGGGTCAGTTTTTCTCGGTCTCTGGCCCGGCTGGGCGAGGAGGGGTAAGAACTAGCGCCCCAAGCGCCGCGCTCTGAAACGGGGATTCGCCCTTCTCCAGGCTGGCACCTGCGCGCCGGGTCTGGCCTCCGCCTCTCCCAGTTCGCGTTCTCTACAGGGTCTCTCTCGGGATCTGGAGAGCTACCCGACCACGCAAGCGCTATGGACTTTATTTAGAAGAATTGGCAGAGTTGTCGCCTCTGGCTCGCGCCAGCCCGGGAGTCCCGGGACTCACCGCTGTTCAGCTCGTAGCCAAAGAGGGGGCCGGTGCCGAGCGGAGCCGCGGCGGTGGCGGCGGCGGTGGCGACCATGCAGTTCCACCTCTCGTGCCTGAACTGGCTCCTGCACTCCTGAATGCCCAGCCGGGCGCCCTCGCGGATGCTGGGCAGCAGGTACGGCTTCCGCTTGCACAGCTCCTTCTGGCGGCTGTTCAGAGGCAAGCTGGTGCAGCCCAGCTTCTCCGGAACCCCGAAGGAGGCGATGGCCGCCCCCCTCGCGTAAACCCGGCTCCCAGCTCTCCACCCCAACCCGAGACGGTTTCCCGCAAATTCCGACACCCGCCCTAGGGTCCCCGCCCCTCGTCCCCAGGCCTCCGCGGGAAGTTCCCCGGGGCTGGGCGCCCCGACGCCCGCACACTCACATCCAGTTTCCGTGGGCTCCGCAGGGGAACAGCGCGAGCAGGGCTGCCCACAGCGCGCACAGGCGGGGCAGTCCCAGGAGCGCCGCTCTGTCCATGGCCCCGCATGGAGTCCCCGGGCCCCAGACGCTCCTCGCCTCCCGTTCCTCCCGGGAGGGCCGCGGGGCTGGTCAGCTGTCCAGCACCACGCTGCCTCTCGTCCTCTTCCTCCTGGCGGACGAGGAGAGGAGGCCGGCAACCAGAGGGGCTCTCTGCGGCCTCCCGTCCGTTTTCAAGGAGCACGAGGAGGAGGTGGAGAAAGCAGCGTGGGGCCCTCCTCCTCCTTCGAGGTAGAGAAGCGCGGGAGGTGCGGGAGCGTCTCTGGCATTCCAAGGTGGGACACTTCTGGGGATGTATCCGTGTCTCCATCTCCCCGGGCCTCTCCGCCCACCTCCTCCCCCTGGCCGCGCCTGTGACCTGATTGGTCCAGCCGCGGCCTGGCAGCTCATCATCCCGACACTTCAGGCTCCTATTGGCTGAGAGCAGACTCCGCGGGGGGCATTCGGGGCCCATGCCTTCCAGACAACCCGTCCAGACCCGGATCTGTCATGACTTTTCCTCCTGTCACTGTCTCCTTAGAACAGGTCGCCGGTAGCATTGATTTAACCCAAAGACGGATAGTGGCGCTTCTGTTTTAGAAGCCTGGGTTTGATGGGAGACACTGAGTGCCACCCACCCTAGCTGCCTCTGGATTTCCTTTGGGCAGAGTGCTAGACAATCTCTCTGTCCTCTTTTCTTTCCGTTCCCTCACCTCCCAGAATAACCTTGTTTTGTGTGTGCCCGAATTGGCAAACAAGTTGACCTTCCAAGCCCTGCTTGAGGTCTCACAAGCTAAAAGACGTTAGAGGATGGGCGAAGTGCCCTCAGGCTTAAGTATGATTCCTTTAGGAATGATGCGTTGTTAGCGAAGAATAGTCTAGAATCCATTCGTGCTCTGCTCGGGAGCTCCTTTTCTCCATCTTATTTCCTGCAGTCCTTGGGATGCTGTCAGTTCCTAGCAGCAAATAGAGGACTGCAAAAGTGAGTGAGTGTTGTCTGGAGATGAGGGGTGTGTTCTTCCTCTTCTTCCTAGATCCACATTTTGACTATCATGAGGATTTTGGCTGTTGATATATATTGAAGACAGAAGCAAACAAACAAACTTACTTCTTAAACACAATGTTTCCTGACCTGTGCGAATTTATAAAGACACAATTCTTTCCCTCCAGTGTACAAATCAGCCTCACAGAAAAGTCTAAGACAAAAATAATTGGAGATTAGCAGTAACAAAGAGGATAGCATTTAGCAAGGTCCTCTTGGAGGCCAAAGGTAGTTCCAAACAGCAAATGTTCTGCCTTTCTTTTCCAGAGACCCACAGTGCTGGAGGTTCAGTGCTACCGCACAGTTTCCGAAGGCGGATTCGTTGGTGGATGGAAGTAATGGAATTGCAGGATGGAAGGGCTCCTAGGAGCTCTGAAGGCAGTACAACATGCTTAGCAGTGACATCAGGAGGCCGCATCTTACCTAGTTAAAGCCAGAAAATGTTTCTGTGAGTCATCACCTGCTTCTTGGAAGTTTATGAAAATTAATAAATTATCGAAGTGGACATAGCAGCTCCGTAGGTACCTAAATCCAGACTTTCTCTAACAAAGACTTTGATAACATTCACTGCCTATCTCCAGTATCAGCCTAGAGCCATAAAAACTCACTAAAATGTCCATTCTATCCCAATTACTCCTTTATCCAACACATTTTTATTGAGTGTACACTATGTACCAGGTCCTAAAGCCACACTGTAATTCATAGAGACTCAAGTTGATGAGAGAGTGCAGTTTCTGATCCAGAGATATTTTGGCTAATGGCTAAGAACCTCTCTGAAAATCAGAGACTCCATCCAAGCTCACTTTACTCTGTGAGCTTCTCCAGGAGAGACCATGGCATTTTCATTGTTGTACTCCTGCCATTGGGCCCGGTACATGAGACCTTGTTTTTGAACACAATTTATTGAGTGGATTAACATGATGAGGAACATTCTGAACAGATACATAAGTGACCTACATGCTGGAACAAGAGAAGTTGCTTCATTTTAAGAGGAACAGGACGAGGGGGCGGGGCATAATTTTAGGTTTGGGGATGGTGAAGAG